TAAGTAACAAAATATAAATATCTATATGGATCAAAGGAATTTGTTCCCTATCCATATTCATAAGTCAATAAAATGGAAAGTTTAGAAAAAAGGTAAATCACCAAAACAAAAATTAACAAACATGACGAATTGTCATGATGTTGTCATCTTGGTTGTCATGATGACGAAAACGAAAGGCGATTGTTCTAATTTCTATTTAGAAATTACGTTTTATATGGCTGCTTCTTTCTCTCTTGTTATATTAGAATGATATAGCGGGCCCAATAGACGCAATGCGCAGATCAACATAAATAGAACGAAATTTTGCGTTCTGAGTTGCGCTACGGGAACGTTGTCCCTCTCTTTGCCATTTAATTTGCCAGTCTCTTTTTATTTGTTTGTCTATGGGCAGGCCTAGGCATAAAAGTAAAGCACTTTTACGCCTAAGCATAAAAGTACGAAAATATATTATTAAACTGTCAAATTCAACGAGCGTAACCATAGTTTCTCGATATATAATGACATACAATGTTACATACATGGTATGACTTTGAAATATTTTTATATTATTTGGAACGTTTGAAATTGTTTAAAAAATTATTTGTGGCGTTTAAAAAAATAGCATGTTCGGAGTAAAAATGACTTTTTGTACAGTTTGACAAATATAGGAAGAGACTTGGCGATAGCACCGTTCGCACACACGATAGAGAGAGAACGCATTCGGCGGAAGAGAGATGCGCAGTTACGCTACGAAAAATCTGATTCAACAAATTCGTGGGCTGTCCACTGCGCATCGAGGGGCGTCTCTTATTTTATATTTCTCACGTCTCTAGCTATACTTGTTAAGTTGTACCTCGGCTGTATATCAAACGTACAGTATACAGGGTGGCCCATCGAAAACGTTCCGCTAAGCATAACGGCCAGGGTAATTTTTTTTTCAGAAAATTCAAAAACACGTCAATTTTGTTTATGAGGGGGACAACGTTTGCCACAGAAATTATTGCAAAATCTTCAACCCCCTAAGCGGGGGTGTCATCCCCCAATTTTTTTCAAATGGGAAGGGGGGTCAAGTGGTACCGCAATGAAAAGGGCTTTCTATTCTCTATACTTTCCGGCTTCGTTTTTGAAACTCGGTAGAGTCATTGAGAAGATATTGTTACGTTTTTCTTGTCGGTTCCGTGTGGATAGAAAGTCACAATTTATTTAAACACTATTTATTTAACACTAATTAACAAAAACAATAACGATAAAAGACTTATAGAACTATTTACAAACGATTTATAACTAAGAATTTATTTTGAATTTTAGCGCGTCAACTGCACTGGTATATTTATAACTGCCCCCTGTAGGCCACTGCCGCCGGCTTTTATACCGACAGGTAAAGAACTCTAGAATTGTCCATAGATCGTTAGGTGCGTAGAGAAGGTTTTCGAATGTTCTCGTATGTACTAGTCCATTCCAGTGGGACTCGATTCTTCTCGAACGAATGAATCATTGCGGTGTTTATGCGATGTTAAGGTCATCCGAGGGCGGGCCATATTGTGAGGTTAGGTCGAGTCCACACCGGCTCGCAACAATATGAAGGATTGAAATTTGAAAAGTTTATTTAAACATTTATCAGAGTAAACGATAAGGATAAATTCCTTCGACCAATTTGCTGTTTTTTCTTATTATTTCTAGATGTTTACGCATTTTTTCACTTGCCACAAGATTGAACGATCAGGTGCGGTAGTTGCTAGATAGCTGTTCAGTGACTTATGCATTGAAGTTCTTCTCAATATCGTTAAACTTTTTAATAATTATGGTGTACTCACTTGCAGAAACAGTGGAAATAATCGAACTTTATTTTAAAAATAATGAATGTGGCAATCGGGTTGCGCAGATATTCAACGAACGCCATTCTGACAAACACCTTTATGGCAAAATTGTTCGCGAGTTAGTAGCAAATTTCGCGAAACTGGTTCCGTTATGAATAAAAAGAGGCAGAGGGAAAATCCTGTAGTAAATGAAGCTATGGAGGTATTCGTATTGCAAGTTGCCATGGATAGTACGCTGAGTACAAGAAAATTAGCCAATGAGACAGGCGTGAATCGTACAAATGTCCAAAAGATATTAAAAAAAACAAGTTCCACCCGTACAAAATTCAGTTGGTACAAGAACACAACAAAGACGATTTTGATCGTCGCTTGCAATTTTGTGAAACTATGAGCAAGGGCGTAGATAAGGGGGGGGTACTGGGGGACTGTACCCCCCCCCCTGACGCTTGACGAGATACGAGAATTGAAATAGTCATTGACTATGAAAGGATTTTTTTAAATTAAAATCCGACATAAGAACACTTTGTATGCTTTTAATTATGTTGATTTATCGTTTATAATATGTTCTACCTAATTAAAAGCACACAAAGTGTTCTTATTGGCCAGTACAGATTAGGGTTAACTCTAATCAATATCCATAAAGATATTGAAATAAATGTTGATGCTGTTATTGATAGGTTTTCCAAACAGCGTACTAGAAAACTTGATTTTGTTTTGTAGTTTTATTTATAGTTTATAGTTTTTATAGTTTTTTTTGATAGTTTAGAGTTTTTTATAGTTTATAGAAAATTAACTAATAAACGTCGTTGTTTCATTTTTGTTTATGTTATTTACAAATCTATATTTTAATTTTTGTGTTATGTTTTTATATCTTTTTGAAGACAAAAAAATCGCCGTCGTTTTAATTCGACAAAAAAATTCCGACGATGATTTTTTTTGCGACTTAATCATAGTACCACCCCCATAGCATACACCTATCTACGCCCCTGACTATGAGTGAACGAGTGGCGAATGATAATAATTTCCTATTTAATGTGTGTATTTCAGATGAGTGTATTTTCTTTTTGAACGGTGTAGTTAATCAGCAGAACTGTCGGTACTTGGCTGAGGACAACCCCAGGGTTTTTCACGAGGTGCACACACAAAACCCTCAGAAATTGAACGTGTGGGCTGGTATTTTTGGAAATTCTATTGTAGGTCAGTTTAACGATATTGAGAAGAACTTCAACGCACAAGTCACAGAACAGCTATCTAGCAACTACCGCACCTGATCGTTCAACCTTGTGGCAAATGAAAAAATGCGTAAACATCTAGAAATAATAAGAAAAAACCTCAAATTAGTCGAAGGAATTTATCCTTATCATTTACTCTGATAAATGTTTAAATAAACTTTTCAAATTTCAATCCTTCATATTTTCTCAACGACTTGACCGATTTTCAAAAACGAGGCGGGGAAATATAGAGAATAGAAAGCTCTTTTCATTGCGGTGCCACTTGACCCCCCTTTCCATTTGAAAAAAGTTGGGGGATGACGCCCCCGCTTAGAGGGTTGACGATTTTGCAATCATTTTTGGGGCAAAAGTTGTCCCCCTCACAAACAAAAATGACGTGTTTTTGGATTTTTTGAAAAAAGAATACCTTAGCCGTTATGCCTTGCGGAACGTTTTCGATGGGCCACCCTGTTTACAATATAGTCGCCGCGAGAAGTGTCATTTTTACTCCTAATAAAACAATAGACTATTGTGACGAAAAAGATATTCTTCAATACGAATTTTGGAAAAACTCCCCTTTTTGATTGTGATACAGTAATTACGAGTATTCTTGAATTAAAGCTATTATCATAATAACATAGACCTAAAATACTTAACAAAGATTTATAACCCTTTTCCAGGTTGATCATTACACGCTATGATAGTTGATTACCAATCTACTATTAATTGCGTATATTAGGTATTGATCCTCTTTAGGAAAAAAAACTTCCTAGCTTGGAAACGGCTTGATCAATAAACAAACTTTTGTAATTACAGCTTTGTAGCAAGGAAGCCCTCGCCAATTCGTAGCCATGTTCGTATTTCATTAGGGAGCATTTAAATAAAGAGGGAGTATTCCCAGTTAGAAGACAAGGGCCTAAAGAGAGTATTTACTTTTAAATTAAGAAATATTTAACAAAAAACAATTATATATTTTAATCTTAATCTCAAAAAATCTTATAAAATAAGAGCCGTTTATTTAACTTAATTTTACCAGATAATTTTGCTTTGCATCGTGCTATTTTGATAAACTACACGGAAACTGAACTTGTGCTGCTTTTAAATAACATGCCAATAGCCAACATTTTACGTCGAATAAATTAGTTGATTGTTTTGATTACGTAATTTAAATCGGCCGACTATGTAATAAAGTTAAATAATGCATTTTTACCCCGTTTATGAAAATAAGTATTTTAGAAAGCTCGTAACAAGGAAAATAAAATAATATACAAAATATCGTATTTAAAAAAACATATAAGTTTTAGTCAATTTAAAAAAAGACAGATTCCAACGAAGAAATAGTTACGTCACTGCATTCTACGTGAAAAACTGTACGAGAGAACGTTTTCACCTTTTCGATAAGTTATGATACAAAAGTGATCGAAAAATGCAATAATTTCAGATTCGCCCTGTATTTTAGGAAGTAAGAGAGCTAGGACATATCTGTATGTAGCATCTTTAGTTTCATAAAAAAGTAACAGCGTAATGTGAAAACCGCATCTTTGTATCTCGACTCATAAACGAGAAACCCTGCAAAACACATGAAAATGGGACACCCTGTACAGACGTACTGCCAAATCAAGAAATCAACTACGAATGAAATCCAAGATCGATTTATATATTTTAATATTTTTTTGTGTTCGTGATAATTCCTTTGCTACTTCCTCCAAAAAACGACAGTACGTGGAAGGAGCGTTTCGAGGATGTAAACGGACGAAGTAGCGTTTTGACGAAGGAGGAAGGTACACACAGTCGCATAAAATCGACATTTTCCCATAGTAAATATATGATTTTTGGACGAAGAGACGCGAGGAAGGAACGAAGTGAAGTAGCGAAGTGTGAGTATGGGGCTTAACTGGACTAAAACTTACATTCTCCATCTCCATGCTTCAATCTTTTCAGTTTTTTAATAAAATCGTGGATTTCTTCTCGGCAATCAAGAAGGCGCTGATGCGATTTCTCCTCCAGCAAATCGGCTGAGAACGCAAAACGCAGCGACGCAGACAGTCGGTTTCGTACCTTTACCGAGGAAGGTTGTTACAGAGTGCGACCGAAAACCGGTTTCGACGAACTATTTGTGCGCTTCTGGTACTACTTGGGTCTTTTCACGGGCACGATCCGAAAAAGGGCCGACGGAACATCACAATCCAACCGGCGAGAGGGTTTTTTCTTCCTCGATAATGGTCGATCGGTTTTTTTTCAGGTAGGTCAGTATCAATCCATGTGTAAATTTGTTTAATTTTGTAGTTTTTAATATTGTTTACGACGTTTTTTTTTTTCGATTAAATATTTGAAAAATTGCACAAGTCTACCACAATTTCATAACAAAAGGTTTGGGCTCAGAGAAATATACTGTTTTTGTTTAATGAACGTACAAAAAAAAACACGTACATAAAACACAGCGTCGATGACAGTCTCTATATAATTTTACATATAAAATGACAGCGATCTTCATTTCATAGCCATCCCCGACGCTGTTTTTTTTTTCGATAATATTGTATGTGAATTTTCCCACGATTTTTATGTTGTCAAAAATCATACCAGATGTCAATAAAAAAAGGGTTATTTAGTGCAAGAATACTATAAAATTATGGTAAGTTTTTTTGATCGTACCTACAGGGTGTCCCATTTTCGTGTGTTTTACAGGGTTTCTCTTTTATGAGTAGAGATATACAGGGTGAGTCTTAAATAAGGTCAAATATTTTCAGGGATGGTAGATCTCGATAAAAGAAGTATATTTCTTCTTTACCGTTTTTCAAATAAGTTCAAAATAACTGAAATATTTAATTTTGAAAATTAAAAAAAATGATTTTTCGCTTACATTTTGAGAACCGCTGGATCTTTTTTTGTAAATTTAATTCACTACCTATGTTGCCATATTATGGAGATTATAACTTTAACAAAAAGTTTTAAAAAAATCCAAAATTTTTTTCAAAAGATTTCAAACTTCCACAAAAAATTTTTCGCGAAAAAAAATTCACAGGCGTGTTTCTGTATAGTCTCACCCTGTATAGCTGCGGTTTGACATCACTGTGCTAAATTTTTAATTTAATTAAGTTATCATAGTTTAATTTCTTCTTCTTCTTCTTCTTCTTCTTTTAGAAGGCGTATCGCCTGTTTAGTTCCGGTTTCCTCCTCGTCTAAGCAACTCTTGCGAGGATGACTGCCAACTGTCTTGCCAACGTTTAGGTGGTCGTCCAGTAGGTCTTCTGCCATGGGGTACGTTGTTGCGAATTATTATGGCCATTCTGTCGGGGCCCATTCTATTGACATGCTGGTTCCATTCTCTTCTTCTCTGCCTTATCCATCTGACAACGTCGTTTGTTTGCCACTTTTCGCTTATGTCTACATTTCTCTGTCTGTCCCTCAATGTGTATCCAGTTATCATTCTTAAGGTCTTCATTTCAGTAGTTCGTAGGATTCTCTTTGTTACTGATGTTTCAGCTCTGGTTTCCGCACCATATGTCATCACTGGTCGTATGCAGGTTTTGTATATTGTTGACTTACATTCTGTACTCAAATGTTTGTTTTTCCATATGGGATATTTAAGATGTCCTGATATTGCGGCAGCTTTATTGGCTTGTTTCCTTACTTCTTCTTCCAGGAATCCTGAGCTTGTAATTTTGCATCCGAGGTATTCAAATGACATTATCTGATCAATAGTTTTGTTTTTTATTACCAATTTGCACCGTAGAGGCTCCTTTGTAATGGTCATGCATTTGGTCTTATTTGTGGAAATTTGCGTGTTAAGTTTTTCTGCCTGTCTGTTAAAAGCTTGTAGCATTCTTTGGAGGTCGTTCTCTGACTCTGCAATAAGTACTGCGTCATCGGCATAGCATAATATGTTTACTTTATGCATTCCCATTCGATATCCTAATCCAGTATTCTTGACGGTTTTTATTACTTGATCCATGATTGTGTTGAATAACAGAGAGCTGAGAATGGCTTGGCGAATACCAGTTGTAGTTCGAAGATGCTGCGTTAAGGTAAAGTTTGTTCTTATTTGGGTTGTTGTGTTTGTGTTTAAGTCCTTAATAAGTTCTGTGAGTTCTTTCGAGACATTACTGCTTTCCAAGATGGTGATGATGTCTTTTAGTTGGAGTCTATCAAAGGCCTTTGTTAAATCTATAAAACATAGATAGGCTGGAGAGTTATATTCTAAGGATTTTTCAACTAGTTGCCTGAGTATGAATAGTGCATCGGTAGTTGATCGGTTTCTTCGGAATCCTTGTTCCTCGCTTATTGGCACTATTGAGGAGATTTTGTCCGCAATGATCTTAGTAAGTTTTAGCGAGGTGCCCAGTAATGTTATTCCTCTATAGTTTGCTGGGTCTGTTTTATCTCCCTTTTTAAAAATAGGTATTGTTATACTTTGTTTCCATTCTTCTGGTATTTCCTTATGTTGTAATATAATGTTAAACAGTTTTGTGTATTCCTCTATGATAGCCGTGCCTGCGTTTTTTATTAGCTCGTTTGGTATTTTATCTTGATTAGGAGATTTTCTATTTTTAAGTTTCCTTATTGTCTCTTTTACTTGCTTGTAAGTGATTTGCGCATGATCTTCTGTATTATCTCTTTGCCTTGTCTGTTGTGCTTCCATTGGTTCATCTGTTTCTGCGTATAAGTCTCTGAAATATTTTTCCCACGTATCTTCTGCAATTGTTCTTAGTTGTATTGTTTCATTTGTTTCTCGTTTCAAACCCCTCAACATCTTCCAAATACGTTTTTGTGCTCCGTACATATCCGCCTCCATTTCGCTACTAAATCGCTGCCAATATTCTTCTTTAATTTCTCGTACTCTATTATAGTTATTATATTATTAAGTATACTTTTATAGTTTAATTTAAAGTATTAAATTATATAAACCAGATAATTTGGTTTCTTTGGTGTTTTTTTAAAAAACTAAAAACTGAAAACCGGAAGTTAACACCCTATCAATCATTTTATACACTTGTGCACTAATTCTACACACAGAAACTAGCGTGGAATGGTGGATAAGCAAAATTGGACGTCGAATAAAGTATTTGATTGTTTTGTTGGCTTTTGGATTGACATTTTTACCTTATTTATGAAAATAAGTATAGAGTATACTATATTATTCGTAAGCTCCATCACAAGACAAATGAAATAAAAAAATATATTACCATAAAGATAAATAAGTCTCTCATCTTAATGAAGAAGATGCATATATTTTATTTTTCGCCAGAAACTGTTCAATTTATTAGAATACATATGTGTAAATGCAAAAAAAAACTTTTTTCTTGAAAGCAGTACCATAATTTTATAAAACGGGCTATTAAAATACTATGGATAACGCAAACGACGCCTCGCGAATTGAAACGATATTCTATTGGTCTGACGTCACCCGCCGTTCTCGTCGACGCGCGATGGCCAGCAGCAGCCAGACGTGTTCCGTTTATGTACGTATTTAGGTGGCGTACTAAGACATTTTTGTTGCTTTTTAGCGTTGATTGAAGGAGCTTTTTATGCAGTTATTATTTGTATGTGTTGTGTGTTCTGAGAATTTTTTAAGTAATGGCAGATTCCGGGTTTGTAAAAGCACAATCAGATAACTTGCCAAAAGTCGATGCCTTTATGTTGGCTGCTTTTATAAATATAAATTCCCAATTTATTGGTGCTGAATTACGAGGAAAAAACAGAGAGATATGTAACATTTATTCTTTGTAGTACTGAGGCATATTTAAGTATAAGTAGGTACCTACTGTTACGAACTTTTATATAGTTATAAATATTATTGTTATAAACTTATTTTTCAGATCAAGTAGGGAGACGTATGGAGATAATGTAGTAGGTTATGTAGAAGTGAAAAGAGACAAAAATATTTGTTTAGTAGCGTGGAAAAATAACTTCAGAGCATAGCGCGAAAAAGAAAGTTTTTTTTATATATTGACACCTCCTTACCCTTGTTATTTTTAAAGATTGTTTTTTTACAAAATTATAGGAAATAAATTGTTTATCAGTAATGAAAATATTATACAAGGTGTCCCATAAACAAACGCCAAAATTAAGTTACTTTTTTAAGTGAAACACCCTATATATTTTTGGATTCTTCGGAAATTTCTAGATATTCTAGATATATTTCATGTATAATATCCTATACCTATCTTCAAATGTTTACTTAATATTGACAGTTGAAAAGCGAAAAATACCTACAATTTTCTGGACCACCTTTTTTGAGACATCCTGTATAACTAGAATTAATTTTAAAAGAGAGTATTTGAAAAACCATGCAACTTTTTTATTTAATGTTTTCTTCTAAAACTTGCAGTTAAGGCTGTATGTGGGTGTCAAATATAATGAATAACCCTGTACATTCAAATTTCATATACATATGTAAGACAATATACATAAATATATGAACTAACATCAAAATGATCTTCAGAACAATAAATCGTAAAAATAGAGGATAATTTAACGTTTTTCTTTTCATCTCTTCTCATGGCCTTGGACCATTTTTTTGTTTTCGCTCATCCATTACTATTTATAAATATCACTAATTACTAATTATGTATTAATTAACACAAATAACTAAAATTTTGACTCAGATTCAACAGCGTTTAAAAGTAAACTGTGTAAAATAAATACGCGTCTGGCTCCACTCAACCAGAAGAACGGCGGGTGACGTCACAGCGGCAAGGCGCGGTAGAGAGCGTTTGCCCGGTTATTTAAATTAACAATATTTAATTATTTTCTATTAGAGGCATTTCTTAACCGATATCAACAATTTTTTTTTGTTCAATTTGTAATTATATGAACTATTTTTAAAATCATTATTTAAAAACATGCATTTTCCTCATTCAAGTCAAACGGGCCGTTTTTTCGTCTACACGCAAAGTTTTACTTGATACGTTTTGCCTGACCAGTTAAAACCTTACGTGTTGGCGTGGCTTTACTCGTAAAAAGTTGAATTTTAATTAAAGCAAGAACTGAATCCCCAAAAGAAATCATTTACACGATGTTTTGGTTCCGCTGCTGGTTCTAGACGAACTTTAGTACCTTTTTTATACAACCGGTACTAAAATAACAAAAACAATGACAGGAAAATCGTATTGCATATCGAAATAAAACACCTATAAATTAACAATGGACAATAAACATGTAGACGCATTATTCCACAGAAACAATGCACCCGTAATACGTTTATTAGAATATAATTTACAAGTAGTAAACAAAACATACAAATACA